CTTATTTTTAACCAGTTTATTTAGTGGTTAAAAGGGTAGATTATAACTAAAAAGTCAAGGGAAAAAAACAATGACAGTTCATTGAAACGCAAACATTTTCATATGAATGCAACTGGACCCATGATATCAAAAACATGAAAGTTTTATAATCCCACAGATGGCTCTCAAATTGAACACAAGTGGCATTTAAACATAACTAACATTGATAAATTAAAAGAATAAAATTACTCCATATTAAGAAAATAAAGTTCCTATTATTAAACTCTTTATCTAGTTAACCTCTCATTAAGATCTGTAAGTAGCTTTTTGTTTTTTACACTCTTCTTTTGTTCAATAAGCATAATATTTATTTAATTTTTATATATGCATAAGTATTGTGCTAGGTAATACTTTTAAAAGAACAAAATGCAGAGCTACTTGCAAGCTGCTCTTATCTAATTTTAGGTTTTGCATTTTTTAGCTAAATGTCTCCCAATAGCTATACTGTCCACCAATATCTATATTCCTCTCTTTCCTTTAGCAGTAGAACTGAGTTTTAATGTAGACGGTCTGCCTATATAAAGAAATTCCCTGGTGCTTTACAAACATAAAACCATACCATCCTTTTTCCTCTTTTCCTCTCCCCCTCCTTCCCAGCTACTAAGAAGACGGGATGATAAGAGCTGTAATAGCAGCACATTGGAAGCCATATGAAAAGGACAGAAAAACAATCTCTAGAAGGTACTCAACTCCCACACCCCAGAGAGTTGCTATACAATGGTCTAAAACTCTTCATATAAAAAGGAACTCAAATTTTTATTTTTTAACCCATGTTATATTTGGGTCTCATAATAGATAGATTCATACATTAACTAAAACATATAGAGGTTATATAAGTCAATAATTCCTCACTTTCCCAAGCCTAAATATAACAAATATTTTGTAATTTCCATTTAATATTCTGAAATAATATTTGTAGATGATATAATTGACCAACACATATGTATATAAAATATTATAAATATTTCTATAAGAATAATAACAAGAAAATCCAGTAATCGCACTACTAAGCATCTACCCAAAAGAAAAAAAACATTATTTTATAATAAAGACATCTGCACTCGAATGTTTATGGCAGCACAATTCACAATTGCAAAGATGTGAAAACAACTCAAGTGCCCATCAATATATGAATGGAATAATAAAATGTGGTATACGTATACCATCATGGAATACTACTCAACCATAAAAAACAATGGTGAACTAGGTCCTAGTATATTATCCTGGGTGGAGTTAGAGCCCATTCTTCAAAGTGAAGTATCAAAAGAATGGAAAAACAAGCACCACATGTACTTGCCATCAAATTGGTATTAAGTGATCAACACTTAGGTGCCCATGTGGAAGTAATATTCACTGGGTGCCAGACAGGTGGGAGGGGGGTAAACTCATAACTAATGGGTGTGGAATGCACTGTATGGGGGATGGGCACACTTATAGCTCTGGTATGGGCAATGCAAAGGCAATATATGTAACCAAAAGGTTTGTACCCCTGTAATATTCTGAAATTAAAAAAAAAGAAAAGAAATAAATTTGAAAAAAATAACAAGAAAAGCATGTATAATAAAATGCATTTCAAAATATAAAATTTGAGCAAGGCTACATTAAAGAAAAAAATGTACTCATTCAATATTCATATATATTTATAGCACAAATTGCTCCATATAAGCAGTACAGAAAGAGAGAAACAGAAACAGAAAGAAAAGAAATAAAGAAAAAGGAAGGAAGGAAGGGAGGGAGGGAGGGAAGAAGGAAGGAAGAAAAGAGAGAGAAAGGTAGAAAGATAAGTGAAAAATAAAAATTGTGTTAGGATAAGTAATAAAGCACCAGATTTATTTTGGTATAATAAAAGAAGGCTACCAACTTAATAGAAATTATGTAACATGACAAGACAAATTATAAACATTTGAAATGAAGCAAATGAGGAAATATTATAATCTAGCAAAGAAGGTAATCTTTATTTCAATGTGTCATTGGATCGGGTAATAGAAAACAGGTCTCTAACCATAACTCCTTTGACATTTTCAGACTCTAGTACTTAAAAAACAATCCTTGAAGATCATACCATTACAAACGATGAGCAAAAGAAAAACAACTAAAACTTAAGAATAGTAAAACAAGAAGTTGTGAGATGTACCTATGGTCCCAGTGCCAGGTTATATTTAGAAAACAAGAAAAATAAAAACATTTCAACATATAGTTTATATAACATGTATTTATCATTTTGGGGGCAAAAATTAAACACATATACATGATGAAAATGATATAAATTATTTTAAAACTAATTATATCAATGAATTTCAATACAATCCCTGTTTTTCATGAGTGTCTAATAATCTAATTTTCTTAAAAATTAATTTTGTTAAAAATCACTTCAAATTTCCCCTTATGTATTTGTAATTGATTTTATTATAGTAACTACACTATAAAATAAAATTATGTTTCACTGAATATGTAGCTGCAAATGTATCTGCATTTTAGCTTCTTTCTAAAGAAGTGAGCATGAAACTTTTAACTAGACAAAAAATGTTTTATAACTCATACTTTAAAATATATCATAAGTAAGGCTATGTTCTGTCATGTACAGTTTTTAATAATCCTCTCCACTTTAATGAGATATACCTCATTTCCATGTAGTCTAAGAAGGACCTCTTTTAACTTTGCAAATATATCTGAAAAAATTTATCAAATAATTTGCTGTACTTTAATTGTAAGTTTTAATTTTTCATTAAATAAAAAATCTGCTACAAAATAGTAAAAAAGTTTAAAAATAAATTTGTTTAGAAAACCATTGTAGTTCAAGGTGTAAAAGAAAAGTTTACCAAATAAACAACCTATCATTCCAGGAATTGCTATATATTGTACATTAATTATTACTATATATTGCATTAATAGTCCTGTAACTTCATTGATTTGTGGAGTCTTTCTCAAGGATTCTTGGCAACTAAGTGCTGTTGATGAAAAATGCAATAAATTTCTGAAACACCTGGTGTTTCTTTTTTAAGTTGGCTATAAACTTGTGTTACCCACTAACCAGAATTAGCGTTCCAACTGTCATACGAACAATGCCATTGAAAACAAGATTTTTTTTGTGAACTAATTATAAAGAATTCAATTATTGACAAGCTCTGTGTATTACAGTCTGTTATCCTAAATGGCATCTCCTTTATTATTTTTTCCTTCCTTTTGAATTTTACATATGGCAACAACAGTTTATTATACACCTAACTTTCTTTTGCCTTCTCATGGATTTATTTAAAAACATTATTTTTGCTCAATGAAAATAATAAATTATTCCATTTGTACTTCCTTTCATCATAGTACAAATAACTTCACATACTTCTGGTAAGATTAATTTTTGTCCAATATTGTGTGGTTAATCATATTTTGCATTATTTGTACTTTATATATGAAAGAAACCTCAGTTGTCCTGAACTTAAGAGTTTTTGAACATTCCAATGACAATATAACGTTCTTCAAATATTTTTCTAAATTTCAGAATTGTGTGATTACTATTTTTTTTTAATTTGTGTCTAATTTTGACATTTTTCTTGCTTAAATAATGTCAGTAGATTGTATTCATGATGTTCATTTTGGGGTGAAGTGATAAAATCCAATAGCAAAACTTCAATTGAGTATTGGAGATGATTTTTCTTTATATTTAACATTCTTAAATAGGTTCTAAAATCACCATTATTGTACAAATATAATTCCAGACTGATACAAGAGTATCAACGTAGGAGCTGTAATGACAGCTCGTGTCTCAAGTGGCATTGTCAGAAGTAATATGATTTTCCAAAATGTTGAACAACTCTTAGTTAACTTTCAAACAAAGCAAATAGAATCTCATACAATCTCCCCCTAATTTAATCAGTAGTTGATGTTATATGAAAGCTATGGGAAATTTATTTGTATTTATATGTAAATGGAAGGCTCTATGTAAAGAGCCTTCACTCCAGTCATTCTTTATCAAATAATTCTGTTTGTTTCTCTGATAATATGTTCATTTATGTCCCTCTAATTAGTATCTATTTCTCTCCCCCCTCCACATGGATACATACATATTTGCACACATAACACACACCCATGTACACACAGTCTGTACATACACTTCTGAGAGTGGAACCTTGTCTTTTACTTTGCTCTTTCCTCTACACATGGTAGGCACTCCTTAAGTATTTGTTAGAGAAATAAATAACTTTTATTTTCATTCTTTAATTTGAACTAAATGTACTGCCCCAGTGAATGCTATGTAACAGCTGAAGACACAAAGTAACTATGGCAAGATTAGAACAATTCAAGTAGAACAAGGCTGTATCATTAGTAGTAGCTGTCTTCCATGGTTGTTTTATCGTTAACTACCCAAAAAGGGCAGCCTTTCAATCAGAAGATAAATATTTTCGTAATTTTATTTTCTAAACTAAAAGTCAAATGAGCTCACTCTAGTAATCATAGAATGTATATACACTTATTAACTTTAAAAATTTGACATTTTTTAGTCTTTCATGTAAGCAACAAAGTAAGAGGCACTGTATTCAGAGTGAGCTAAGGCACCCTTTAGCAGAAATGTTGAATTACAGTTTGCCTAAGGAATACCAGGATTGTTCATGTTTGCATATTTAGATTAATAGTACATTTCTACAAGGTTTGTGCTGTAATTGGAACTTAAATAACATTTGTAAAGTGTTATCTGTCAGAGCCTGATGAGACCCAAATAGAATGTATGTCATTATGCAAAATTACTAATTAAGTACAAGTAATTTAGCAGATAATTTACATGTTCATTTTATAATAGAAATTATTTAGTTTTAGGGTCCTCTTTGTATTTCTAAAGTAATCTTGACCCAAGGGATCAAGACTGTTAAGAAGAAGTATAAATTATAGAATGAAACATATGTTTAACTGACTCATACAGCTTTTGTTGTGGTTAATGATTCCTCTAACAGTAATTGCATAAGGGAAAACATTTTCTTTTTAAGTAAATAGTGTTCATTACCTCTTAAATCTACTGTCACTTGACAACATTAATGTGGAAAAATTTCTACCTTCTTGATTAGCTCTCCAAGGATATTCAGCAGCTTTAAATTAATATTGATCAAACAGAAACCATCATATCCATCAAAGCGTTCTTACAAATGTAAAATGTAGATGCACAGAAAAAAATATTTCAATGGATTCTGGAAATAAAAAAAAAATTACTCTCCTGAAATATTCTACAAATTACTGAAATATACTGTAAACTATCAAGATGAGAAATTATATGGAATGGAGTATGTATTTGGTGGCTATTGATAAATACTAGCTCCGTCTATAAATCAAATATTTCAGTGTTAAAGTATTATATTTGTATAGTCAAACTGTGGCCATGTTGTGCTAATAATTCTTACCCTACACAGCAACATTGGGAGAAAAAAAAAATCAATGTGTCTTCACAAATTAGTCATTTTTTAAAATCCAAATTATCTGAAAGCTCCATGATGTAGAAATTCTGCTTATTTAAACAGCTTTAGTCCAATAACCTAAAACTGAGGCACACTTTAATTTAGGTGACAATCCCTCAAGTTCTTCTCTCTGTTTTCTTTTGGTTTAATTTATTGTTGATTTTTAAATACCTTTTGAAAATTATGTTAATTTTACTCATTTTATTGATGCATCTATTTAATGGTATCAAATTGCCTCTGATAATCACTTTAGTTGTATCCTATAGATTCTGATAAGCCTCATTTTAATTTTGAGAAGTAGTGTAGTTTTATTTGTATTTTCAGTTTGATCTAAGAGTTAATATTATGTGTTTTATTTCCAGGGGGAAGAATTTTTTGCTTTTTAATTTGTTTTAAATTTCCAAGTTTACTGAGAAGAATTCAGATAATACTTTTTGTATTATTTCTACTTTTCTGGAAAGTATTAAGATTTCATTTATGGCATAAAAATAGTCATTTTGGCTGCACTCAAAGTATAATATCATAATCTGGGTTAAGAATTCAATATATAAGGTCTAAATTATTAATAATAAATGTTCAGTACTATATTAATATCTTTATATAATATTTTTGTCCACTTGATCAGCCTTGAACCTAAAGAGATGTGTTAAATTTTATTTTTGTCAATTTCTCTGTATAGTTTTCCTTGTAGCTATTGTTGTTGCTGTTTAATGTTATTATTTGCATAAAAATTAATAACTTATGGCTTCACTGAGGAGTGTTTTTAAGTTTCTGAAGTAATTTCATCATTTTATAATCTCCTTGGTCTACATTTTACCTTTCTAGATATCAATCAAGATTTTAGCTCCTACTTTCTTTTCAAATGCATTTGAATACTACATATCATTGCATTATTTTCTTTGTTATCACTTTTGAAAGTTGTTTTTTAGGTCTGTTACTTGTATAGAGTAGAATTTTGGATTTTAAATTTTTAGTCAATAAGAAAACACTTTCTAGTGATTTAAGTTCATTTAATTATGCTACAATTAATATATTTAGCCTCAATTCTCTTATTGCTTAGTGTTTTTTTCACATATAGATATTTCATTGTGTGGTCATTTAATTGTTCTCTGTGTCATCATATATTTTGATATTTAGAAAAGTCTGCAATTTTAAACAAAAGCTTACCTTCATACAAATGCTTTTCGGAAGATCCTTAGTCCTCAAACTTTTTTGAATTATGTCTGCTGTTTCCCTCTATAAGCGAAATTGAATTTAATTAGCAAACTTTTCTTCCTCCTCCTTTCTTTTTCCTTCCAAATCCAGTCCGAAGTACTGTTTTTTACTTCTGGTTACTACCTGTACTGGAATTAGTGAACTGATTCTTTCCATACACTTTCTTAATTTTCCAAACCACTTTTGATCATGTTACTTTACCTAAAATGTCAGAGTATTTAAACTACACCTACTTGTCTTGTGTCTCTGACTCAGTCTTTCATCTACAGATAAATATATATTCAATGTTTATTTTCAGATTCTAAGCTGAATCCTCAACTCTTCTCATTTTGTAAAAAAAAAGAAAAAAAATTCTAGTAAAATATTCAGGAAAGACTTATGAGAACAATATTCCTGAAATTCTGTCATATTCTGAAAGTCTGCCTTTACAGCAGAAGGTCAATTTTGGTTGGATATAAAGTCTTTTGGGCACATTTTCCTTCTTTAGAACCTTAAGTGTATTACTACATGGTTTTCTGATACAAAACATTACTGTTGAAAAGGTTGATATCAACCTTTTATTTTATTTTATTTTATTTCCTTTATAAGTCACTTTATAAGTGACTTGAACTTATTGCCTAGATGCTCCAAGAATCTGTTTGCCTTTTCTTTAAAGTACAATAGTTTTGCTAGAATATTCCTAGGCAATAGGAATCCACTGTAGATTTATTTTACCAGGTAACAGAATATGAATACAGTCATGTATCATATGATACAATTTATATTTTTATGTATAAGAAATGCCAAGAATACACAAATTCTTAGAGACAAAAATTACATTATGGTTGTTAAAAGCTTGAGAGAATGGGGAGCTATTTCTCTTGAGCATGGGGTTTCTTTGTGAGGTAATGGAAATATCCTGGAATTAAACAGTGTTGATGATGCACAACCTTGTGAACATACTAAAAACCATTAAATTATATACTTCAAAGTAGTTAATGTTGTATGTCAATTATATCTCAATTAAAAAGAGACATCTATGATAATTTTCAAAGCTGCATTGCAGGGGGGGAAATGGGCATTTATTGAAACCTTAAAATCTGTACCCCCATAATATGCCAAAATAAAAAAAAAATAATTAAAAAGCTGCATTGTTATAATTCTAGCATGACAGCAACTCAAATGTCCATTCACAATAAAAAATAATTTGTAGTATTGTTACAAAATGGAATAATATGACAATCACAATAAATACACTACTATTAAACTCAATGGTATGGATGAATCTCTAAAATATGTTGAGTAAAAATGTGTGACACAGGGCATGCATGCTTTATGAATCCATTTGAATAGTTTAAGGTAATCAAAATCAATCTTTAGAGTTTGAAGTCAAGATAGATTTTATATTTGAATATGTGAATTGGAAAGTGATTGGGAAGGAGTACGAAGGGTATAGGTAATGTTCTCCTTCTTGACTTCAGGGGTAATTACACAAATATGCATTTTTAATTATTCATCAAGTTATATGCTTAAAATTTCTATACTTTTCCATGTGCATTTTGCTTTTTGATACAATTTTTAAGTTATGAAAAAAATAATGAAATAAATGTCCCTAATCAATATGTTGATTTTCTGCAAACTTCTTTCCTATACTTTCTTGGGTCTACGCTGCTGTCATGTGTACAACTCCCAAGCTGATATCCAATAAAAGACTTGATAAGATACAGTGATTTGCTGCTGAATATTCTTTCCCTACCCTATATTTCATTTTATTAAGGACTCAACACTTACTTTACTTTTTCTCTGACTATGCAGCAGCACTTCCTTTAAATGGTCCTACTAATATGAGAGTAGATCTCCCACAAAGAAATATATGAATGTTATATCCTAAAACATGGAAAAGCACAAATATGGAGGAGAATGAACTATTATTTAAATTAATAAATAATAAAACATTCTAAATATTTAAAGGTGAACCTCCTTGGATTTTCCTCTTTTGGATTTTCCAAAAGATTTGCTCTTTCTCTCTATAACACTATCTCTCATAGTCTAATTTTCTAAATTACCCATGTTTCTGTACTTTAACATTCTTAGGGAGCCTTCCCTGATTTGGGGGAGGAAGAAAAGAAAAGAAAGAGAAAAATACTTCCATTTTTTAAAAAAGTCCTCTTACTTACTTTGATCTGGTTCCAAAATTCTAGACTGTCTACATGAGCTCAAGTCTATGCAGGGGATTAATATTTAATCAAGCCTGGCTTTGGTGGCTTCTAATGTAAGCAAGTCCAGAAGCAAAAGAATGCCCAGATTTTGCCCAAAACCTTACCTCTCACCTCTCAACAAGAGTCTCAAGAGACAAACAAGAAAATTAGATATATAGGAAGGAAAGTACTTGTTTATTATTTATACTAATGTTCGATGACATAAAGTATAGAGTTCTAATGAAAATGGATAAAAACTATGGCTTAGGTCTTGAGATCTAAGAATGTTCTTCTATCATTTCCTGAATTTAACTCTTATGATCTCATGCTTTTATAGTACATGCATAGTACAAAAAATTGAAAAGATAGAACTTTTTAGGCCATATATTGCATTATCAGTCCAATCACATGTAGTGAAGAAGAGAAAAGAGCAAGTAATTAAGTGTAATAAGTTTGTTGATATAATCTGTATGTTTGTCCCCTAAACTTCATTTTGAAATTTGATGCCAATGTTTAGGTGGGGCCTAATAGGAAGTGTATAGGTCATGGAGGCAGATACCTCTATTAATCCCTTAATAGATTAATGCCCTCCCTGTATTGGGGATGAGTGAGTGCTTGTTCTGTTTGTTCCTGTAGGAGCTGGTTGTTAAAAAGAGCCTGGCACCTCCTCCGCCCCTTGCTTCCTCTCTTGCCATGTGATCTCTGCATATGCTAGCTTCACCTTGCCTTTTGCCATGGGTGGAAACAACCTGGGGCCCTCACCAGATGCAGACGCCAGTACCTTGCTGCTTGTACAGCCTGCAGATCCATGAGTCAAATAAAAGTATTCTTTCTGTAAACGCAGGTATTCCTTTATAGCAACACTAAATTGCCTTAGATATTTGTCAACTAGTAAATAAAGTCTAGTTAATGAGCCAGCTATTGATATAATTTGGATGTTTGCCCCTACCAAATCTCATGTTAACATTTGATCCCCATTGTTGAAGGTGAGGCTTGGGGGGGGGGAGTTTTATCATGTGGGCAGATCCTTCATGAATGCATTGGTGCCATTCTCATGGGATTGACTGAGTTCTTACTCTTAGTTTCCATGAGATGTAGCTGTTAAAAAGAGCCTAGCACCTTCCTCTACTCTCTCTCTCTTGCTCTCTTTCCATATGTAGCTCCCCTTCCACCATGATTGGAAGCTTTCCAAGATCCTCACCAATAGCAAATGCTAGTGCAATGTTTCTTGGACAGCCTTCAGAACTGTGAACCAAATAAATCTCTTCTTCATAAGTTCATGAGCCTCAGGTATTCCTTTATAGCAATGCAAAACAGACTAACACAACTACCAATAAAAAAAGTGAAGTTGCTTCCCTTGGGAATGGAGGTATTTGAAAGTCTTCCTCTGCTCCTTTAATAAGTGCTATGCAGGCAAAAGTAGAGAGTAAAATGTTGTACTGAGAGTTAGAAAGACTCTCTGAATGAAAATAGTATTTAAACCAGCACTTGAAAGATAAACAGAAAAAAGATATGCAAGAGTCAGAGTAAGATTAGAGGAGAGTATTCCAGGCCCAGAGAACAGTTCAGTAGCTCATTTATCAAAGATGTTGGTGTGAGAGGATTTATTCTACATCAATTCACACTTTTCCTGGCTTTTGTGTCTTGATTTTTACTAGAAAAACAATATACACCTCTCTCAGTCAAGGATATTTTTGCCCAATGTTGGAACACATTACCTAACCCTAGCTAATCAGCAAGTCTCATTACCTTAGCTACAGTGATTGCTTAAGAAAAAGGATGTCATCCAAACACAATCAATGAAACTTCCACTGAGAATTCTGGAATAATATGTTTCCTGGCGACCTACTACCCAGAATGTTTATTATCTAAGAGGCAATAAATCCCCCTACCATTTTTTTTTTTCATAAACCAGCTGGAAGATTTTATTTCCCCCTTGTGACACACACTATCCTATCTGATAAAAGGTGAAAGCTTTGAGTGAGATGGGGATTATCTTGACACTTTAAGGGAGTTGAAACTAGATCACTTTATTTCCAGTCTGTTGACCAAGAGAAATAGTACCATTTAAAAAAACGATTAAAAATACACAAGGACCAGAGAAGGCCATGGTAAAGATTTGCACCTGACTTTAAGAATAAGGGAAGGCCATGAAAGATTTTTAAGCAAGAAAATGAATGATGATTAAATTTGCACCAATATAATTTTGGTTAAAATCAAAATGAATATTAAAATAAAAATAAGATTACCATATAATGTAAACAGTAGTGGCTTTTTACCAATTGTAATTGATACCAGCCTAACCTTTTTGACACCAGGAACGAGTTTTGTGGAATACAGTTTTTCCACCTATGGACATAATTAGAGTGGGTCGTGGCCCCTTGGCTCTACTTCAGGAGCATCAGGCCTTGTATTCTTATGGGGAGCACGCAACCTGGAGGCCTTGCATTGGCAGTTTGCAGTAGGGTTCCCTCTCCTATGAGGGTCTGATGCCACTGCTAATCAGATGGGGTGGGGGCATGGGGTGGGTTTCGGTGGTGATGCCAGTGATGGGGAGCAGCTGTGGGTGCAGGTGGGGTTTCGCTCACCTGCCCGCTACTCACCTCCTTCTGTGTGCCTGGTTCCTGGTGGGAAATGGACAGGTGCCGGTCCATGGCCCCGGAGGTTGGGGACCGCAGATCTATACAATGTAAATGTCATTTGTATGAGTTCTTTGTATGAAATATTAGTGAACATAATGGTGAATAGTACTAGATTATAATTTATAATACCTCCTATGGCAATTCAGTAAAATAATGTGTCAAAACAGTTGAGATGTAATTCTAAGAATTGGCTTGTATTCAAATTGAAGCATTTCTTTAATTAACAAAAGATTTGCTGGAATTACTATTATAAAGGCTTACTTTAACTTCAAGGAACTAAGACTGGCAATATATCAAAAGTTGTAGTGCATTGGTATGCCATTGGCACATGTACAAAGATGAAATGCTATGTAAATCAAAATTGTGATGCACTACAGACTGTCAGATACAGCTTTCTGAGATAAGAAAATCCTATTGGAAATACTGATTTAAAAAACAAAAACAAATAAACAAAAATATGAATCATGACCAATGTTCACTGAATACAAAAAACCCTCAATAATTATATCCACTATATCAATGACATTGCCTTTGGAACTCAAATGTGCTGTATTTGGCAGAACTTCAAAATGGGGAATTTTTAATATCTAAGGTGATGTAAATATAAATGGATTAACAAAATCTTATGCAACATTATTGTACAAATTGCCAATATTCCTCAGAAGTTAAGTGTTTCCTCTACTATAGCAAAGAATGCCACTAAGAGGATAATTTTTCTTCTCTTACTAGATTTTCAATTGTTTTATTCAATTGTTTTATTCAGGAGAACTTCAGTTTAATTATGAACATTTTGTGGACTCTTAAGATAGACATGACCATGAGACAAAACCAACACATAGCTATAAATATTTCCTATCAGCAAATGTGCAAAATAATCTGAACTTAACAAATTCAAATCAACTGTATTTGTAACTCAGAATTTAGTTAATATATATGTACATATATACATTATATATACAGTATATAATCATATATATGCATATATACACACATATATTTTATATATACATTACATATACACACACCCATATATATAATATTGCTTATATATAACTTATATAACCATTGGTTAAATAAATTAGTGTGACTATCTTAGGATTATTTATTTGCTAAAGGACCTATTAATAAAAACTTTAGTAAGGAAAATGAGCACTCACTAATTTATTTTTATGATTAAGCAGATTTTATATATTGGGGTCATTTTGTAGGTGTGAAACATTTTAGAATTTTCTTAGGATTTGTTACATTATCAGTAGGATTTGTTCTTTTTAAATTTTTGTTATAGACTATCATAATAGTTGGTGGTATATACAGTAAATTAAGAGTACCTTTCCTCTGGTGGTACAATTCTAAGATATTAATATATATGAAAACATATTGGGCTTAGAATATACTGAATTAAAACTCAAGAACCAATAAAATTAACTGAAACATTATATTGACAATTTGTAAACTCTTGATAATTGTTGTTGGTGGAAACCTACATAGGTAACCAAATTGAATCTGACCTTTTCAGTTGTAATTTTCACTACCTGCCTAATTTAGACCTAATAGAGTATGATATCATGTCACACAACATAAGTCCCATTAAAAAACAAAAACAAATTTAATTTTATACATAACAACACTATGCAATTGTGTAATATATTCCCTAGGATTGTACAAAATGAAATAGAGGAAAATTGTCAACCTCACTCAATGTTGAAAATATTTCAAGGAAGAAAATGGAATTCTAAGCACTATTTGCAAGCAAGAGTTAAAAGAAGAAAGAAAATATCAAATGATTACTGAAATTCCAAATTAGATATAAATAATGACAAATATCCAAAGTTTAGTGGATGCATCACCCACATCAATTTCTACTCCTATTTCTTCCCATCATAACCTCATTCCATACAGAAAATGGAAAGTTGACTCCTTCCCCAATTCTAGTGTCAGATCTTGTTGAATCTATGTACCAATATTGGATAATGAGAACTGAGGAGGAAAGTTTTTATAAGGTTTTTAGGAAAGATATCACTTCTGAATATTGTTGTGTCTGAGTGTTATGACAGGAATTCCTGCAACCATGTTGCTACCTGGCAAATGATTAAGCCAATATATGAAAGCAAAAGTGTCAGGAGTCTCTTGGAGAAGTGGTACCAAAGCCCTGACATACCATGCCTGAAGATACCTTAACTCTGAACACTTTGTTAGGTAAAATTTCCATTTCCAGTTTGAGCTGGTATTTTTTGTTATTTGAAGCTAAAAATTTTCTAAGGATATTTAATTTGTTCTATTTTTTAAAATGTAGATTTAAAAAAATCTTTTCTATTGGCTATTTTTTAAGTTACATTATGAAGCATATTTCCAAATGTCAAGTAACCTAATTCTAAATACTCAACATGTTTGCTAAATATTTCTTCAACAATCAAATTCAGAAGTGTCTTTAAAATAATTACTTATTCAGCATAAAAAAGTTGATCTTTATTAGTGTTTTCTTGTCAATTATTACCCTATGAGTAACTTAAAAAAGAAATACACTAGTTTATATAGGAATAGGCCTTTAAAAATATAAACTATAAGTATCTTTATTTAAACACACAGCAGTTTTCAGTTTATTCTTAAAAGAAACTGATCTTTAGAAAATTAGAAATAATAATAAAATGAATAAAAATTATTTTCAGATATGTCTTCACCATTGAAATATTAGGTTTTATTTGATATTTTCTCACTGGATATACAAAAATATTGACAACATGAAAATATCAATATTAAACCACTTTCAAAATTACATTTTTACCAACTATAAATTTTCATTTAAAATTTTAAAAATAAAGTGTCAAAAGACATACAGTTATTGAATTGGCATTAGACATAAGTAGACATTTAAACAACAGACATGGTAATATAAATAGGGAGAGAGAGGTGAGAGTAGAAACAGTGGCTCAAGACATGTCTATGTAAATTAGCTTTACTGGAATGCTTATCAGCAAAGTGGAAATTCTACCTATTTATCAAGACACTTGGGCACAAAAGATTTAATCTTCTTGAAAGAATGAACCTCTACTGCCAACTAGGATGACTTGATATCATGACATACAAAATAAAAAATTTAAATAAATTTGTCAAGAAAATCCACAGGATCATCTGTTTTTGTAAGTTGACTTAGTCATTTCTCACAGTAAATGCTGGAAACAAGTAATTTTTACTAAGATGGTAGATTATTGTGTCATTAAGCTAGACATCTGATATCATGTCCTATTAACTCCTATTATACATGAGAGGAAAATTCCGTTTCCTGATATTATGTTCATAATATATATAAGCATTATCAAGTAATGCTCAAATATTAGAACATTTTTATTGATTATTCAAAATAAAATATCAAGACTGGACACACGTACTATACTTCCCAGTCTTCTTATTTGGTAACCTCCTTTAACAAATCTCTGCTTTTGATGTAAACACTTCTCAACATAGTGATTCAGAAAGCCAATGAATTAGAGTTGGCTTGAGTTTAACATAAATTCTTACAGTGTATAAGTATTTACCAAAACATATGTTAATGAAGGTCAAAAAGCAAGATACTTTTAAAAGGTGTACTATAGGTTTTACATAAGGTACTTTATGAACAAATGTTTTACATATATTGAGAATATGAAACTTTGAAAGTAATAGAAAACAATACAGATGTATCATGTGTATATATATTTAAAGTGTTCAAAATGTTTTGAAGCATGACATCAAAACCATCTAAGCAAAAGACTGAAAATTTTGAGCTTAAAATTTAACTTTGGGACAACCTTCAAAACTATAAAGAAAGTGGGAATATCAAAGGGGAAAGTCTAAAATGTCCTTAATTTGCAAAGAAATCTAACAAGTCCATGTAAATAAACATTCCAACAGGAAAACAGATTAGAATATGAAACATTAACTCACAAATATGAAAATATAAATGGCCAATAAATATAAGAAATGCCGCAGTTCTTACGTAACTTAAAAAAGTGAACTAAAGCAATGGTAAAATATTTTGTTTTACATATGATTTTGAATTGGCCAACAACTTAAACAAAACTCCTTGTTCCTTAGAGCATATGAAAATGGGCATTCCTCTACACTGAAAATGGAAATATAAGAGGTACAAGCCTTCTAGACAGCATTTGGGCAATACTTATCAAAATTATTTTTAAAAATTGCTTGCTTTTTTAACCATTAATTCTACTTCTTAGGAAAGTAATTAGATGTATTCGCACATATGAGTTTGCAAGGATGTTTATCTCCAAGTTATTTATGATAGAGGGGGAAAAAAGAGGAAACAATCTAGCAACATATATGTTTACCAATAAGAAATTAGTTCTATTATAGTACACTCATTGTACAAAAGATAAAAGTCATTAAAATTATAATGCAAATAATTATTTATGGATCTGGCAGTTGACCATAGCATACTGTCAAATTAAGAAAGCAATATCAAACAAGATTTATAATATGACTCTATTTTCTTTAAATTATTTGTATGTATACGAATAGAAAAAATTTAGGAGAATATGAAATAAATTTTAACAGAGACTTTGTTTGCATAATAGGATTATATGCTACTCTTGTTAATTTTTCATTGTCCATATTTTTTAATTGACTGAAAGATTTTTAATTTAGAAAATGTGCAATGTACATATAATTTCTACAAAAATAAAAAGAAACAGATTTTTCTCATTCATACCTAAAGAAAAATATTTAGTATTTCTTTCATATTAGTAATATATGAAACAGAAGATTTGAATGTGTAGTTACAAGAAGCAACTAAGCCAAGCAAAAACACTAAAACACAACAAAACCATTTTCTAGACACCTTTGGTATGAGTGAATCATAATTTTTAAAGTAATTATTTAAATGTAAATAAATAACTCCTGCTTCTATTTCCAAATGAATTTAAAGCAGCACATATTAAAAGCTAATAAAAAATCCTTAAGAAAAATATAAAAAGAAGCTGAGTAATATAGATGAAAGGCAGGATAGAAGGGAAGATCTGAGAATGAGACTAAAACAAAAATTATACTAGAAAACAGGCTAAGCAATGTAACTTCAATTTATCAGAAAATCAGTTAGTGAATTTCTGATCAATCAAGGTTAAATGTGAACCTTAATGGGTTATATAACTCTTCACAGTCTAATAAAAGGACACATAAATTCATAAAAATAGAGAAACTTAACTTTTCTGAACCCTGAGAGAACATTACTACATGAAATAATATAAAACAGATTTTAAAACACAGTTTTCAAACTGAGTTTCTATGTTCTCTATATATGACTTTTATAATATTAGTATATGGCAAAAACTTAAGGCATGATATTAAGCTGTATAGGTATGATAAGATTTAAGATAGGTTTGGATCACCTGAATTGATACAGGTTTATAATTTAAGGAATGTAGAAGTGAAGGTTTTATAATGCAAGTCACAATTCAGATAACTAACAAGTACGTGATTATAGTCATCTAATGGAAGGAATAACAAAATATCCCATAAAACCAGTTTGCAGGCAACATTAAAACCTTCCATCACCTGAATTTAAGCCATCAGAAAATAAACGTGTCAGTATATAAATTTCAAAGAAATTCTACTATATCCTAATACTTTAAGCATTAATTCAAAATGAATTTATGTATTTAACTGAACTTGTAAAACTAACTTATAAACTTTTGATTGCTGAAAAAAAACCCATCCTGGATGAAAAATTAGAAAACTTTTGTTTGGAAAAATAAATTACTTTGGAATCCTTAGGCATGAGACCTATTTTGAGCATATTTTCATAGAAGAAATTAAAGATAGCAATGTTATTAAAACAAGAAAGAAAATATGCAATAAACTCAAATAATTACCTCTTTTCAGTTGGTTCAAAATCTAATAAAATATATCTAATTATGCTTATTGTTATGAATGCTTTAAATCAAAATAAGAAAAATATGCAATATTGAAATCAGAAAATATGCCTCTGTAAATGAACTAAGCTTCTAAGATTCATTTATTTTTTCCACAAAAGAAAAAAAATGGCTTTGTATAAAAAACCTTTTAATACAAAATTTACTAAAATAAGCTGCCGTCAGGTGGGATTTGAAATTTACCGAGGACAATTCAGGCAGAGATCACTGTCTTCCCCACATGCTGCAAATATTGGCTGGTGAGGTAAGTTTTTCTTTCCTAGTGCCTCTGGGCCAGGGCAATGCTGAGGGGTTTGGAGCCCAAGATGCGGCCATTCATCTCAGTCATTGCTTTAGTAGCCTCCTCAGGAGAGGAGAAGCAGATCAAGCCAAACCCTTTGCTTTGACCTTCTTCTTGCATTACCTTAACTCTGCTAATGGATCCAAACGAAGAAAATTCCTTTCGTAGTTTTTCATCATCAATGGTGTCATCAAGGTTCTTAATATAGAGCTTTACCCCCTGGCACCCACGAAGTCTTTCCTTTTTCAGCTGCGCAAACATTTGCTTTAACTCAGCCTGTCGCTCTACTTTCTTTTGTGCTCGGCCTACAAAAATCAGCTGCCCATTTATATCCTTGCCATTCATTTCTTCAACTGCCTTTTTGGCAGCCTCATGGCTATCAAAACTCACAAAGCCAAAGCCTTTGGATTTCCCACTGGAATCCGTCATCACCTTAACACTCAGGGTGTTGCCATATTTGCTGAAAACTCCCTTTAGTCTCTCATCATCCATGTCTTCCCCGAAGTTTTTGATATAAACATTGGTGAATTCACTGGCTTTGTTTCTGAGTTCCGCTTCCCGATCTTTTCGGTTTTTGAATCTGCCAACAAACACCTTGCAGTCCTTGAGCAGCTTTCCATTCATTTCCTCAATGGCCCTGTCTGCAGCACTCTGGTTCTGAAAGTGCACAAAGGCATAGCCCTTGGAGCCTTGATCATCACTCATCACCTTGGAAGACAGGATCTTTCCAAAAGCTGAAAAATGTTCGTAAAGGGTTTTGTTATCTATGGATTTGTCCAGGTTCTTGATGAACACGTTCCCAATTCCAGATCTCCTTAAGTAAGCATCACGTTGAGACCACATGAGACGGATGGATTTGCCTTTTACCATGTCAAAGTTCATCGTGTCCAGGGCCCTCTGAGCATCAGCCAGCTGCAAGAAGTTCACGTAGGCATAGCCCAGAGAGCGGCGCGTGACCGCGTCCCTGCAGATGCGGATGGACAGGACAGGCCCCACAGCGCTGAACTTCTTGAACAGCAGGTCCTCGGTGACATCTCCATGTAGGTCACCCACATAGAGGGAGGCCATGCGGTACTTGGCTGCTACATTCATCTCCCTGCTCCTCGCCAACGTGGGCCTATCCCGGGGTCTTGGAGCAATCCCTGCAAGAGGGACACTAGGCCCCAGCTCAGGCCTGGCTCAAGTGTGGTGGCCTGGGGATAACCACTTAGAGGCCAGGCGGTGGAGTTCAAGCACTGCTCCTCCAGCTTAGGCAACAGCCTCATCAAAAAGCCCCACAGCAACCAATCTGACCCTCCCTGGGAGTAGGCAATGGAACTTTGAAATCTCAAAGAAAGGTTATTAGGGCAAGACTTCCTTCCTTCGGCTCCAATTTGTGAAAGAACTTTTAAGTGGCGGGCTGGCTCTCCAAGAGAGCGAGCATTCTCCACAGACACCCTAGTCGCTAGTTTCTGAATAAAAATAGGCCTCACTCACACTGGTTTAAAGTTACAGCCGCTCAGGGAAGAACTCCACAAGTGGCGTCTGAGGCGGCGGCCCGGGCCGCGGAGCGCGGGCTGCCAGGTCCGGCCCCGGCGAGACCCGAACCTGCGCGGTACCGGGTTCTGCAGGCGCCACCGCCGAGGCGTGGCCCGGGAGCGAGGCGGGCGACGGGCGCCCAGGAGAACCCAGGCGACCCTCCGACCTGCAGACTTGCGCGGCGCCCGCAGGAAGGACGGGTGGGGGGTGGGGGAGCGGACAGACCGACGGACGGGCGGTCGGACGCGGGGACGCGGCCGGGCTGGCAGGGGCCGAGCAGGGGCGGGGGGCTCACCGGGGCCGCGGCCGGCCGGGGGCGGGCGGGAAACCCGGAACTCGAGCGCCGAACTTCCCGCGCACTCGCTGCCAAGTGGGATGTTTTCTTTTTAATATTTTTTGAGAATGTTTTTGTTTCCCCCCCGCCTCTCTTACACATTTCCCACCCCTCTCTGAGAGCCAAGCTGAGAAGCAGGAGGCGGCGATTTGGGTGGAGAAAGGCGGCCTGGGGGAGTGGCCCCAATAAACCCACCCGCCCGCAGGGCTTTGCTTGGGTCTCAGTGAAGGAGCGCTTCCAAATGTGGATCTGGGCCTGTCACTTCCTAGCTTCAAACCCTCCAGTGGCTTCCTTTGAGTCTTGGATAAGTTCCAACATCCGCACCTTGTTGTGTTGTTTCTGTAGGATTCTAGCCATGTTCCAGCCTCAACTGCTGCTTAGCTCCCCTTAAAAAACTTGAAGACACACTCACCTTTTTTCAGGGCCAACTTTATAAAAATGTGTTTTTCAGGAATCAGTTTAAATGCTCTTTGCAAATAGAATTTTTCACTAAACGCCTTCTAAATGTTTGTTTCCCTCTTAAAAACTCCTACAATACTTTCCTAGCGTTTGTCTCACTACAGTATATTTTACATTCCATGACAGTGGAGGCCATGCACATTTTATTCTAAGAGACTTGCAGAAATGGGATTGCACAATATTTATTGAATGAATCAAATGTATGAAATAGATGAGATGTTTAACCTGAGGTTGATTTTACATCTAGAGGCATAGAGATAGTGTCCTTTAACTCAGAGAATATTTTAAGTCTGAAATGAATTGATAGATTTGGAAATGTCTAACCGGTTAGACACACAACCAGTTTTTAATAACATTGGCTTCATTTGCTTTAGGATTACATAAAATTCTTTAATAGCATTCTAATAAAACCTTAGCATTTGAATTATACTGCACTGAGAGAGTCAGAGTAAGTTACCTGCAAAATTGAATTGGGTAGATCAGTTTATATAAGGCAAAGTTTGTGTGTTTCAAACTTTAATGGACATGGCAATCACCTGGGAATCTTATTTAAAAGCAGATTCTAATTTAGAAACTTGAGATGGACCTGAGATTCTACATTTCTAACAAGTTCCTGAGTAATACAAATTCTGCTGGTCTTTGAACCACACTCTGAGTAGCAATACTTTAAACCTAATGAGTCCCCATTTAGTGGGATCTTTTTTAATGTAAAGAATAGAAGACTAGAAAAAATATTTTTTTCTTTCAGAAAATAATGATACTCAGCAAAATTAATTCTTAGTAATAAATAAACTGGAGCATGATTTTCAGTATAAAATTCAAATTGCTTTTAACCTATCTAAAATTCGATTTGATTCCTCTCAAATCCTAATAGCTTTTGTTTGTGAATTTTATTCTGATATGTGTTGTTCCTGTATCATAATTTGTTCAAGTAAATAAATGAAGCAATCTTTTCTTCAACCATATCTTCTAGACTGCAATTTTAAAAAGGAAATAGTTGATGGATACCATTAATGGATTTGAACTACACTCCAGCACATACTTTAAAAATGCAGACACTGTTTGGCATTGTTGAAAGCAAATTGAACAGTGATCACCATACTCAATATTACTGATTTTTTAAAAAGAAAGTTCCTCAGTGTGTAGTTCTTGAGAATTTAGTCTCAAGATTTTTTATTTCTAGAAAATATGCATAAGTTCATATTAGTCCTTTGTACAACAGTATTTCAGCAAGATACCAACATATTTCAAGAACTCTTGATTTTTAATTTTATTGTAGAGTTATCTTCACACAACATTTTGTGAAAAATGAGGAAGTGTTTCCAAATTTAGAATTTAGTCCTATATTCTGGTCTATATTCAACTTATGTACAATTGGTACAAATCTCAATTTGCTGACCCTTAATCATGCTCCTTCCAATTTATTCTACTCATTATATTTTTTTTTAATTTTATATTTTAACAAACTATTTTTAAGCGTACATGATTCTTCTCTTTAATTGTCTAAATCTTTTTGTCAGTTGTGTTCATTCAATAATTTCTTTATTTGGGATATCTTGTATATTTGCTCTTTCTTTCCATTCCCATTGCTACTACGTTTGCCTCATTTCCTCATGTATTATTACATAAGTCTTATTCACCCTTTTTCTTTAATTCAGTCTGTTTACATGCCAGTCCATCTTTCATTTTGCTACCAGAATAATTTTACTCATGTCCCTTTCATAATATTTTACTAAAATAAAAAATAACAAATGACTTCTAAGACTTTGCAAAAACCTATCGTCTTCTAACTAGATATATCTTCTGTCAAGCTAATCCCTCACTTGTTTTATATGCACATGCAGTTAATTCTTTTAAAAATATCTTCCACCAATCCCATTACTGGGCATATATCCAAAAGAAAGGATATTGATATAGAAAATAAATACATGCACTGCCATGTTTATCAAAGCACTTTTCACAATAGCCAAAATAATGAAGTCAACATAACTGCCCATCAACAGATGGATGAAGAAAATGTGGTATATGTAACCAATAGAATATTGTTCAGCGAAAAAAAGGATGAAACCCTGTCGTTTGCAATAATATGGATGGAACTGGAGGTCATTATGTTAAGTGAAATAAGCCAGGCACAGAAAGACAAATGTTACATGTTCTCACTCATATGTAGAAGCTAAAAAGGTGGATCTCATGAAGATAGAGAGAAGACTGGCAGTTACTAGAGGCCAGGAAGAGTGGAGAAGGATAAAGAGAGTTTGGTTAATGGGTACAAAAATATAGTTATAGATAAGAAATAAGACCTAGTATTCAATAAAGTAGTAGAGTAATTATAGTAAATGAAAATCTTTTATATACTTCAAATAGCTGGAAGAGAATAATTTAAATATTCTAAGCATAAAGAAAAGATAAATGTTTAATGTGCTGGATATCCCAATTTCATGATTTGATCGTTATACATTATATGAATGTCTCAAAATGTCACATGAACCCTCAGAATATGTACATTTATTACATATTAATTAAAAAACATGTTCTCAAAAAAATCCTTTTTCCCAATCATTATCCAAATTATACCATTCTTGAGCCATGTTTTCTCCAATAATATTTTTCTCTTAATAGTCCAGTTAACACTGATTACTTTTCCTGAAAAGTGATTTATTTAATATCTGAAGTGATTTATTTAATATACACATTCCATGTATGTACCTAATTTTAGCATCAGTTCATTAGCTTTGATGGACCTTGACTTAATAATTAATGTCCCTTATGCTGTTGTCTTATGCTTTCCTTAGCCAGTTGTTGTAATTCTTCTGTATATTGCTTATTTGCATGTCTTTTTAATTCCCAAAATATTCTGAAATTATTTCAATTAAGTGTCAATATTTTGCCTTGCTTTGAAAATATTATAATTTTTCCAACCTTATGTTATTTAGCTCAATTGCTTTTCAAGGTACAAGTTGGTTACGTGAGTAGCTTACAGAATTAGGAGGGAATGAGATTGCTTTTTTGCTTAAATTACAGGAAAACTGTCAGTGTTTCTATTATTGATAACAATGGAGGTTATTGCTCAATTTGGTACTTATTATGAAAAAATTAATAAACAGTTATTTTGAACATGGAAATGAATTTTAAAATAAAAATCCGTTTTGCTCATTATATGAAAGTAGTCCCTGAAGTCTACTTGAATCATTGCTCAGATATAGTTAGCTCTTAATAAAATTTTTCTTATTTTTTCAAAATGGTCTTTATATCTTAATAGTAATTAAGTAAACAAAACTTGCTTTTGTTACATTATGGAAATGCCATGTTTAATACTTACTACAAAGTGTGATATTACACCTTTCATATTATTTGGTTCATTATAATTCACAATAAGTATGGTCTCTTTCTAATTATAATTGTTTTCTTATATTTTTTTACTAAATATAGTGTTAACTTCTTTAGAATGATATATATGGTTTCATTTCACATTCATTTTTCTCTATCTGGCACATATGGATTTCCTCTTTTTTATTATGTATTTATTTTTATTTCCGATTTATGGGTAACGTTGTGTTTCAATAATGGCCCATTTCCCCCCCTCCCCAAGTCTGCGTCTCATCATGGGGGGCCTCCCGCTAGATGGTGACCAGTCTCACTCTTATGTATGTTATAACCCGCCCCCTCCCCCTCCCACCTGCCAAATACCCTATATGTAGTGAGCTATGGTCACTTAGGTGTATCCGTTGATACAGTTTGCTGGCGTATCTCTGTGCTTGTTTTCCATCTTGGTACTTCCTATATGTTGGGTCCGCTTACCCAGAAATATAGATATGCGCGTTTATCATCCATTGTTTCTTAAGCTGAAAAAATAGTACCTCCATGGTTTTACATATACCACTTTTATTAATCATGCTTGATGATGGCACTGGGCTTTCCACGCTTCCTTATGAGTTGTGCTGCTTACATTCGATGGGTGTCTTTGTGATGTCCATTGAGTCGGGTTGGGTAGTGCAGAATGGATGCTGTAATGTAGTTCACTTGATCGTTTAAGGTTATCTCCAATGCTTTCCACGAGTGCTGTTTGCAGTCCCACCGCAGTAGGATGTTCGTCTCCTTCCGGGAACCGCGCGCATTTATTGTTGGGTTTTTTTTAGGGCATTCTCCCTTGCGTTTAGTGATATCCTTCATGTGGTTTTATGGCTTTCCTATGTTTGAGATGGTTGGGCATTTTTTAGTGTTGTGGCCCATTGCTTCTGTCTTCTTTGAATTTGTCGTCCTTGCCCCTTTTAATGGGGTTATTTGATTTTTCTTCTATTTCGTGACGTTCTAGTATTCCTGGTATCGCCCCTTATCAGGATGCATGGATGCAAAATTTCTCCCTTCTGTGGTTGTCTGTTACTTTGATGAGCTATTTCTGCTGTTGCAGTAGCTTTGTAGTTGTCAGTCCCATTTATTTTTTTTGTTGCTTGTT